TGTGTGTGTGTGTGTGTATGTGTGTATATATATATATATATATATATATGTATGTATATATATATATATGTATATATATGTGTGTGTATATAATATATGTATATATAATTTAACATAACTTTTATGGTTTAAACAAAGAGAGTGAGATACACACCTCAACATTATATAAACAATAGACAATAGTTTTATTTAAATGTAAAAAAATATTTGTAATTTACCTTTTATTTTATTTCTATTATTTACTGAGTTTCTATTATTTATATAAATAATATTGTACAAAAAACATATAGGTTTAATTCAACTTGGCAAAATATACAATAATACTTTATATGCATATTCCATAAGGAAAATATGTATATTCCATAAACAAATATAAGAAATTAAGTTAATGCACAGTAAGAAGAGTAAGAAACCTTGAACTACATTATACAGTAAGTGAACTAAAAATAAATGTGATCTTTGTTTGTGTAGGACCCCGTGGCACAAAGCGTGTCTCCTAACCGAGGTCCTAAAGCTGGAGGAACCGTCGTCACTATCACTGGCATACACCTGAACACTGCTTTAAAAGAAGACCTTCAAATCATGGTGGGCGACGTGCCCTGCAGAGTGTGAGTGCATCATGGGAAATGTTGTTTCTGTCATTTTCATTAGATTTGCCCCTTTTGGTTGATTTTGTGTTCTTCCTCTGTGCTAGTGAGAGCTTTGGAGAGCAGATCAGATGTAAACTGTCTGAGTATCTGGGCGAGACGGTTCCATCGCCTCACCTCAACGTCAGAGTTCAATACGGCAAACACACCACAACCACCATCAGGACGGCCTTTCAGTTCTCCAGCAACCCCTCTGTGTCCGACCATCAACCCAGGAGCAGCTTCATATGGTCAGTTCTGTTTGCCAGAAAATATGCCATCCAATCCATCCAATATTTTCCTTGCCCACACAGCCATTACATCATTACTCATTTGTACACTGATTAATAAATAAGATCATTTATTTATTTTATATAATTAATATAAAAATGTATATAGTGTTGTATGTATATTTATTAAAAAAGTGTTGTAAAATAAGCATATATATATATATACATAAAATGTTTTTATTATTATTTTGTATACATTTTTTATATATTTAAAATATATAATACATATTTGATTATATTGTATCATATATTTTATTAACTTGCATATCTTGTACAACATTTATACAATTTATTAATTTAAATAAATATTATATATAGAGTTTTATGAATAATTAAATCGTATATATGATAAAATATTTTAATTTATTATTATTTTGTATGTCATTGTTATATATTGTCGATTTTTAAATATATATTTAAATATTTATATATTTAAACTATATATAAAAAATATATATTATTAATATATATGCATGCATTTGAAAA